GATGCTTAGGGGACAGGAAGGCAGGCCCGGGGCCATGCGGTCCCCCGCCTGCTGCACTGCCTCTCTGTACTGGGCTTCCTCAGAGCCGGCGGGAAGCGGGGTTTGGCCAGCTCGCACCCACTTCACTTGGAGCCCCTGCGAGGAACAAACCAGTGTGAGCAGCAGGTAATGCCCCACACAACACCCAGGGGTCGTTTTATTTGGTTCCTCTTTCCAGTTCTGGCTTCTACACTATTGGCTCTGAGACATCTGGTCCAAGGGGAGGCTTTCCATGTGTTTTAAGTGCAAACCTGCATGTCCTGATAGTCCTGCCCTGAGAGTTTAGGAATCTTCTGAACAAGTAGGAAGCTGTGACTCCCGGGCCTGATTCCCACCTGATGCTGTAGGGGAAGGGGGGAGGCTGGGTGTGATCTCCTGAGTGACAGGATTAGTTTTTAAGAATCACTTGTGTTGGAAATGCGTTTTATACTAGGCGGGGGACATGCTCACCCTGCATCCCGGCTGTGTGCTTATTTTGGTAGCAAAAGCTGCACGTGTCATGAATGAGCATCATAGCCAGAAGCATGCTTTGGGGGGCCTTTAAGATGTACTTGAGGGGGTGGGGAGGGAAGGGGATGTTTGCTTGGTTCAGTGACACATGCCTGACTTGGTAATTCGGTCATTCCTCTGCCTGTCCTGTTCTGATGAAGAGCATGGGGGGTGGTGCACACACTGTGTTGATCACCGGCCCAGAGCTGCTCTGGGTAGGAGCAGCACTGGCTTCTAGGTTGTTCTGTTTGGCCCATGTGTGGTCCTGTCTACTCTCTTGTTGGGCTGAGCTGGAGTCACTATCTACTGATAATCAGTTTGCAGTGTCAAAAAGTACTTTTGGAAATGCCATAGAAGTCAGCAGGAAGGCAGTCTGATTTTCACAGCTCCGTGGGCCTCTTTGCAGTGCAGGCAGCCCTGCATGCTCCACAGGCCAGATATTTGCTCCTTCACACCCGCTGAGCTTGGATGAGGCAAAGCCAACTTCAGGAAATACCAGAAATCTGAACAGGGCTGCAGGTTATATAATGCACACCTCGCATTTGTTTTAGCAGTTGTCCTAAAAATACACTCGTGGGACAGTAATCAGTGTGCATCTCAAGGTCGCCCTTTGGGCCAGCTCACAGTGCATGCCCCTGGACCCTGCCACGGCCCTCCCATGCTTGGTGCATCACCCAACAGGCCAGGATCGGGACTGCTGGGCACTGAGGGGGTACCTCTGTGGCGGCCTGTGCCCCAGGCCTGCCATCAGGTTTACCAGTCTTGTCCCTCCCAATGGTGGCCAGGGCTGATGGCCCCACCCCCTGGCCAGTGATGGGCAGGAGGTGGCTACGGAGGATTATTGTGTCCACAGCTTGTTGTCACCTAGCTACGGTGACAGCCTGAGGAGGGCCAGTGTCCTAAGCAGCAGATGGGGCGGGAGAGCAGGGCAGCGTTCAGCAGCTCCTTGTCGTAGACTGGCTCCTCGCCGAGGTTCCGAAGGCATTTTAAGGGAAGAAAAGCAAGGCAAGGCTTGCGTGTGATAAAAACTCTTCTTTCCCTGCCCCCGGGAAGTTGGGACACTTACAGAAAAGTCACAGGATGAGTAATGTGGCCTGTGTGTCCCTGGCCACAGCCAGGCATGGTGCTGGCACTAGAAATGTCACCAGGCTTCGCTGGGAGGCCAGAGGTTGTCCACCTTGGCTTCTTTCTCACTGAGGCTCGCCTGATGGTGAAGGCCCGGACGTCCTGCGGCCGTGGTAACATCCGCACCCCGGCTCCACTTCCTCAGCAGCACTGACTTGGTGAAGAGGAGCCCCTTTTCTCCCATCGCAGTCGTCTCGTGCCTTCTGCAGCAAGCCTGTTGCCCACCCCGCCCCTGCTCCTGGTGATGGACGTGCCCCAGGTGCCCATGGCAGAGCGCTTGTCCTGCGGGGAGGGACGCTGATGCTCCCAGAGGCCTAGGGTCCCTTGTAACAGTGTGTCTGAGATGCACCAGCCAGCTTTGGTCCATGTCAGCGGTTTGGGGAGGTAAGAGAGGGAACTAGACGGAGCAACTGAGAATGTCCAATGTGGCAGTTTAACCAGGGTTGGGAGGTGCAGGGTCTCCAGCAGCCTGTGCGCACACAGGCAGGGGGGCTCGGTGCTGTGGGACCCGCTGCCTTGGCTGCTTGGGTTGGGGGTTAGTACCAGTTCTCTGAGGAAGAAAGGGAGTCGGATCTCAGACCTGCTGTCCTTTTTCTGTGCTTGTGATTTAAGTGTGAACTGTAAACTGTTTGCATTAAACAGTGTACGCTAACAGATCACTGTATTCTGAGGTGTTCAGGAACTTCCTTGGTCAGGCGAATGGTGTCTCAGTGTCGGGGGTTGCTGGGGGGCAGCCCTCCTTGGGGTACAGGGACCCCTAAGTGCTGTCATTCTTTGCAGCCGGGTGCAGAGTGGCCTGTGTGGGAGGAAGTGCACCCTTGTCATCCTTGTCATAACCTCACAGCTTGGCTTGCAAACTGAAAGACAGCCAGATGTTTCAGCAAGATGCAGGGGGCACTGGGAGGTTTTTCACAGGCGGCCAGCCCTTCCGTGCCATACCAGCCCTGGGGTAAGAGCGCCGCATCCTCAAACCCACACCCACCCTGTGACTCTTCTCTGAAGCAAGTCCTGCAGGGCAGCAGGGGCTGCGTGCGGAGAGGGGACGGTGACTGGGGGTTCCCAAAGGGCTGGCATTCCTTCTGTAGACTTGGGGTGGGGACCCCTGGGCTTCTCCAAAGTCCACCCCATCATAGGTTCTGGGACTCAGGGCCTTGAAAGACAGCTTTGCAGCCTCGGAGTGGCCCCTGACCCTCTGCTGTCTTCTTGCCTCGAGGTTAAGGTTGAGGGGCATTTCAGATTTTAAAATCGGAGCACTTAACCCATTTCAGTCAAAATCCTCAAGATGTATGATGCATTTATGACTCAGTAAATGAATTAAATCAGGTAAAGCAGTTCTACATAGGTGACCTCTGCCTGGCAGGTAATACAGTCACACGTATTGGATGTGTACTAGTTTTCCCCGAGGGAAAAATCAAGTACTTAGAGACAACAGGCCCACATAGCAAACATTATTTTAATTACAGATTGAAATACAGTGCATCAGAAGAAGCAAATAAAATACCAGTTTTTAAACATCTGAACCATAGGTTTTACATTCTAGTGCATTAAATAAAACAAAAAATAATTCCTTAGGTAACAAAACTACAAGTTGTTTTAGAAAGTATTGTGGTAGGAACCTAACAAAGGAAAATGGTTGTGCTGCTTTTGCATCACAGAGGAGTTTCTAGGGCTCCTCAGGCAGCCCAGGCTTGCCCCCAGCCCCAGGCTAGCTGCCCTCTACGAGAGAAAGGCCCCTTCGCCTGTCTGGTCCTGTCAGGAGCATCGGTCCACACTGAGTTTAATAGTCTTAGTGCAGCTGAGGGCTTAAATATTTCTGGAAAAAATGGGAAATGTCCCCATTTAAAATGATCAATGAATAATCCAGTTTATCCATTCATAAATAAGCTTTCAGATGAGTTGGGAGAATCAAAAGCTAATATCAAAGTACAATTTAGAAATATCTTCCATATGATACAAATTGAGAATTGATATTAGGTTATCAAATTACCTTGAATAAAAATTTGATACGTTACAGAGACCAGATAATTTTCTGTAAGAATCAGAAGGTTCTAAACTGGAAAAACATTCATTCCCTAAGCATCTGACTATAGAAAACTTTAAGAATACAGTTTTAAAAATTAGGTCAACACGTAGGGCTTTGTGTGGCATCCCAGTAATGTGAAACCCAGCAGATGCCCCCAGCAGCTATCCTCAGGTCGAAGCCAATGAGCTGCCAAGGCGCCCTTCTCAGCCAAGGCTGGCTGGGTACCTGCCGCGGCTGGCAGGGACGGGCATGGCCCTCGGAGGGAGAGGCTGCGGCCCGCCGGGACGGGGCGCAAATGCACAGGCCTGACACACCGCACAGAGGACCTAAACGCTAAGGGTGGACCAGCTGGTTACTCTAAATTCCTGTCCAGACTGACGAGAGAGTCCAGAGCCCCAAAGTGCAAAAGCAGGAAAGCACGTGCTATGCTTCAGGCCACCCTATGAAGCCACAGAGCAGTGGCTGCTTTAAAATACCGCCGTGCGGTTGCATGAGTAAACCGGGGTGAGATCTGCAGTGAGAAATACCGTGTCTGACAGGCAGGGAACGAGTGAAGAGGGCCTCTGCAGCACTGAGGGGCGGCTGCCAGCCAGGCCTCCTTGCAGGAACCCTCGGGGAGCCCTCAGTGTCCCCTCCACAGGGCCCTGCTGTCCCGAGGGAAAGAAACCACTGCTTCTGCCGTGTAAACGACACATTCAAATGGTGCTTCAAATGCACCGCACACAAGTCAGCATGGGCTTTGTTTGAGAACATTTCTCACAGTCCAGTTAAGCAGATGCTTTCTTGGGTGACTAGTCTAAACATAAAAAAGGGCATAGGAAAATAAAGGCATGTTTCTCTTTAAAAATACCTTGTATGAATCCTACCATTTGCAACAACATGGATGGAGCTAGAGGGTATTATGCTCAGTGAAATAAGCCAAGCGTAGAAAGACAAGTACCAAATGATTTCCCTCATTTGTGGAGTGTAACAGCGAAGCAAAACTGAAGGAACAAAATAGCAGCAGACTCACAGATGTCCAAGAAGGGACTAGTGGTTACCAAAGGGAGGGGTGGGGGAGGGCGGGAGAAGGGGATTGAGGGGTATCGTGATTGGTGCACATGATGTGTGTGGGGTCACTGGGAGGACAGTGTAGCTCAGTGATGAGAAATAGGGCTCTGTGGCATCTTACTACACTGATGGACAGTGCCTACATTGGGGTATGGGGGGAACTTGATAATAGGGGTGAACGTAATAACCACATTGTTTTTTTTTATGAAACCTTCATAAGAGTACATCAATGATACCTTAATAAAAAAAATTTCACCTAAAAAAAAAGAAAGAATCTGATCTTACTGGAGCCCAGCTGAAGCTTCGAGAATATGAAGCAGCTCTGAATTCTAAAGACACAGCTCTAGCCACCACTCTTGGGAACAAAAAAAAAACTTAGAGGGGAGATTTGGAGGATATGAAGGATCAGATTGCCCAGTTGGAAGCCTCCTTAGCTGCTGCCAAAAAGCAGTTAGCAGATGAAACTTTGCTTAAAGTGGACTTTGAGAACCGCTGTCAGAGCCTTAATGAGGACCTGGAGTTCCGTAAAAACATGTATGAGGAGGAGATACATGAGACGAGAAGGAAGGATGGATGAAACACGCTTGGTAGAGGTGGGTTCTGGGCGTCAGATCGAGCTTGAGTCCAGGCTGGCTCAAGCCCTTCGTGAGATGAGAGAGCAACACGATGCCCAAGTGAGGCTGTACAAGGAGGAGCTGGAGCAGGCTTACCACGCCAAACGCGAGAATGCCAGACTGTCATTGGAAATAAATACTTCCACTGTCAACACCGCCAGGGAAGAACTGATGGAAAGCCGCGTGAGAACTGAGAGCCTTTCATCTCAGCTTTCTAATCTACAGAAAGAGTCTAGAGCATCTTTGGAGAGGATTCAAGAGTTGGAGGACTTGCTTGCCAAGGAAAGAGACCACTTTCGGCGTGCGCTGTCTGACAGAGAGAGGGAGACGGCGGAAATAAGGGACCAGCTGCAGCAGCAGCTGAATGACTGTGAGCAGCTTCTCGATGTAAAGTTAGCCCTGGACATGGAAATCAGCGCTTACAGGAACCTTCTGGAGGGTGAAGAGAGACTGAACCTGTCTCCAAGCCCTTCCTCCCGCGTGATGGTGTCGCGAGCGTCCTCAAGTCGCAGCGTTCGCACAACTAGAGGGAAGAGGAAGAGAGTCGATGTGGAGGAGTCAGAGGCCAGCAGCAGTGTCAGCTGCTTTCATTTTGCTTCAGCCACTGGGAATGTCTGTGTTGGAGAGAGAGATGTGGACGGGAGGTTTACCCGCCTGAAGAACACTTCGGAGCAGATCAGCCAATGGGAGGCTGGGAGATGGTCAGAAAAATTGGAGACACATCGGGCAGTTATAAATATACCTCAAGATATGTGCTGAAGGCGGGGCAGACAGTTACAATCTGGGCTGCGAACGCTGCAGTCACAGCCAGTCCTCCCTCTGATCTCATCTGGAAGAACCAGAATTCCTGGGGCACCGGGAGAGACGTGAAGGCCATACTGAAGAACTCCCCGGGAGAGGAGGTTGCTCAAAGAAGTACAGCCTTTAAAACAACCATACCGGAAGAGGAAGCGGAAGCGGAAGCAGCAGCCAAAGTGGCTGTTGAGGAAGGACTTTTCCTCCCGCAGGGAGCCCCAAGAGCATCCAGTAAAAGCTGTGCCGTTATGTGAACTTCTCAAGTCAACTGTCCTCCTCAGAGTAAGGACGGGTGGTGACCCTTGCCTACACGCAGTGCAGAGCCTTCTCCGAAGCACAGAGTATTTTTATGTTTTCTTTATGTGAATTTTTAAGCTGCAAATCTGATGGCCTTAATTTCCTTTTCTGACACTGAAAGTTTTTAAAAATAAATTCATACCCATACAAAAAAAAATGCCTCGTATGTACACAACAGTGCTGGCACCAGAGGACCCCTAGCGTAAGAACTGTGGACTAGGGACTAGACAGCAACGGGGTGGCTTCCCCTCCCCACACTTCACTTTGAGTTTCCAAGTTGCAGCAAAGAACTGAAGGAAGCCATGTGGCTGGCAATGTGGCCTTTAAAAAGTGAATGATGGTGGTTTTTCAAAGGAGTTCCCCGGGAAAGCAGCGGCGTGGGCCCTCCCTCAGCCGACGCCCTGTGCTCTGCTCCATCCACTCCGGCCTCTCCCGAGCTGCCCGGATGTGGGCCGGGTGGCTGCCCTGAGAAATCGCTGGCAGGAGGGAAAGGGGGTGTTCACAAAACAACACTAGACAACAGGGGGCTGTCACCCTGGCACACAAATGGCCACTGGTTGGAAGTGCCTCCAGACGTGGAGGGCACTGGGCCTAATCCTAAAAGGCAAGATCACAAGCTACAGCCCTGATGGTGGCAGGTCCCTTGCCTGAGCTGCTGCAGGGAGCAGCGGGGCAGGATGGCCTCCCTGGTTGCACTGGCCAGAACGCCGCCCTCAAACACGTCAGACCGAGGTGTGGACGGGAGTGGCTGTGTGGGTCGGCGAGGAGCCCCGCTCAGATGGGGACGAGGGGCGTGCAGCCACCTCCCGCTGCAGGTCCTCCACCCGCTTCTGCAGCTCTGCCCGGACGGCCAGCAGCTCCTTGAGGGTCTGGTGGATCGGCATCTGGGGGGCAGACAGGGTGTGAGATGTGGCAGCCCGCGCCCCTGGCTCCTGTGGTGCGCCCATGACCTGATGCCCAGTGTGCAGGCCTTCCTGGAGCTGGGCATCAGCTGCCCCTGTGGCAACATATTTGGGCCCCACTGTGCACTCCATGTGGCAGCCTGACAGCCTGCAGGGGCCCCACAGGCCGACCAAGACCAGAACCCAGTAGGAAGTGGGACCACAGGGTTCCCGGTTCACCTGCCTGCCATTGAGTCAGCACTTCCTACACCAGGAAGTTGTGCTCCTTGTCACCCATCTGGAAGGTTGCTGGCAGAAGCCCCTGGGGAGGGCCAGAAGGGGAGGCCTCCTTCAGCAGCACCTCCCCACCCCATCAGCTTTCCCCTTGCAAGCCGTGGCTGAGGGGGTGGGGCAGAGAATGGGAAGGGCTTTCTGGGGGCACAGCGCCTATTCCCTCACTCAGCTAGAGAGCCATCCTCGGCAACAGCCAGCTGGGGACCCGGGAACGCAAGGCCTGCTTTACCCTCATGCAGCACTCGCTCTGGGGGTGAGGCTGTTGGGGCAAAGGAGGCACAGGGCAGTGGCTGGGGTGCATTGCCTGGGTCCTAGGCCTCAGCCAAGTCCTGTGATACCCACTCAGCACCCTCCTGTGGCGTCTTCCTGTGCTCGGAGGGTAGCAAACTGGCTGTGGCCTCAAAGCCCTATGTGGTGTGACCCCACCCGGCCTCTCCTGCCGACCTCTCACCAGATCCGGCCTCCTCCCCGCTGCAGCATTCCAGGAACTCCCAGGAGTGGGAAGATGCCGCACATGTGCTGCCCCATCTGCCTGGAGGACTCTTCCCCCACCCCTCCTTTTCACCCACATCCTACAGGGACCAGCACCAAAAGGAGTTTCTGGTGGGTGGGGGTTTGGTTCACTCCAGTCCCCACAGGCCTGCTTGCTTGGTCATCTACGTCCCCCGAAGGCAGAGCTGTCCCATCAGGAGTGCCAACTGTGACCGGTGCAACTTGATGGAAATAGGAGGCCAGGTGCCTCCAACCTAAGGTGCTTTGGGAACCAGCACTTGAAGAGGCTAAGAACAAACTCCTCACTTTGGCAGGCCACAGGAAGAAGGGAGGGGACAGCACTGGTGGCAGAGGCCCCCGAAAAGCAAGGGACAGGTACCTTACTTGCTGCTGACCTCCCATGACATGGGCAACAGCTCCCCTCCTTAGCCTTAGGGCCCAGTTGGTATTTCCCTGCTTGAGGGATCATTTGATTCAAATCGGACGGCCGGATGCTTTGCAGGCAAGCTGTTCCTAACACCGCGCACGAGGCCTCGGAGCCGGGCAGGCCATACAGAGGAATGCAGTCCACACACACCCAGGCGCCGACACTCATCGTCCATCTCCATGGAGCCTTCCCTTTCTTTTCCCGTATGTCATCTTCATTCACACTAAGTCGAGGTCATGCTTGTTCCGAGAAAATGCCCATGTGGGGCCAGTGCCCACATGCACTGTGCCCAGTGCACTGAGGGATTCGGTTCATGCTCACACCCCTGCCAGGTCTCGGGAAGGCTCAGGACCTTGCCCCACATCAGGTATCAAGTCACTGTCAGCGACAGGAGTTGGCTCTAGCCCGGGGGCACCCTTCCGTTCCACGACTGCATGTGCCAAGTTGCAAGAGCTCAGCAAGCCATGGCTCCACTGGCCCTGCCGTCAGTGTGTCAGGACTGCTGGGAGTGTTAGGCAAAGTCCCCACGTGTACACTGCCCAGAGGACCCGGCTTGTGGCAGCAAAGCCTCCAGCTCCTATGACTGTCACCATGATTCTGATTCTACTTGTGCAGCTAAGACTGAGTGCCACTGAGAATGGACATGGACTGCAGTTCACAAGTTTTAAGAAAGGTCTGGGCCCTGCCCTCACCAAGTTTGCAGTCCAGCCCCCCACCAGGCTGGTAGCACCAGCAGAGGGAGCCGGTGTGGCGGAAGGGACACTTTGGGCCCCGGAGCCACCCCTTGGCCTGGCAGCATTTTCCAACCTGGCCTGCTGAGCCGCGGGGACAAAGGCCGGGGTCTCCTGCCCAGAGTAACTGCAGGTGCAGGAGGAGCTCTGCAGGGCTCCTCTCTGACCCTGTCATTTGAGTCAGTGAGAATACTGCTTGATAACTCTCTCTCCTTGGTTTCAGTAAAGTGGCGACTTCCCAACACTCTGCCCTTTGTGGAGACAGGCAGAACAGGACCCCCACACGAAAACTTGGAGAGGTGCCTGAGCTGGGCAGGCACACGACAGTGAGGGGACACTGATGGGAGGCAGAAGCCAGCTTTGGTGCCTGAGGAAAACTGGCTCTAGCGACTGGAAAGACGTACTGAAGGGGCCCCTGGGCTAAGCATTCCAAAATAAAGCAGCTGAGGTCAGAAAGGGGGCTAGTTCTGGGCTGTGGGCGCTGTGAGAGGAGGGCAGCGTACCCTGCACTCAGACATCCTCAGCTGGAAGTGGCGACAGCTGCTGCTAATGGGGCTGGCAACCCCCTGGGCTTGCTGAGGTTTTCAGGCACACACGCCACCAGAGAGTTCTCTTTCAAATGACAGTCTAATAAGGGGTGGTTGTGTCAGGGGCCTACCCTTGCAGAGTGCAAAGTCTGAGAGGAGAGAAAAAGGGAAATGATAACACGTCATCGTGACAGCCTGGCAAACATAATCCAGGAGCTCAGGCAGAGGGGTACCGGGGGCCAGGGGTGGAAGGTGAGGGGAGCTGGGGCCATCAGGGGGCCCCAGGAGGCCAGCCCTGCACCCACTGGGTGACTATGTGACTGGCTTTGGCTGCATGACTAGAGGATGACATGTCACATAAGGTGTGGGTCACTCTGAAGAGGGAAAGGATTTGGGGACCAAAGTTGGGAGGCGGTTTCATGGAAGCCACAGGTGACGGTGCCCTGGTGTCCTGGCTCTGCCTGGCACCCCAGAGCTGACAGGATGATGCTCGCTGTACAGGCCTAAGCATGGAACATTAGAAATTAGTTCCTGATGGCTTACTGGCCACAAATAAGATTGGAAGCTTGTATTTAAAGTACTGACCACTGACCAAAAATTTTGATTAGATATATACTGTTTGTTTCCATGGGGAAAGGAGGCAAAACCGCTGCCCCAGCCTGACGTTCTTCAATGAAGGAGCCATTTCACTGTTAGAAGTTAGCACTTTGCTAGTCCAAGCACCTGCTAAACCTGGAACCCATTGCTACTGAGAAACATGCTCTGGCCCCACACCAGTGGGTCCCTACCAGCTCAGCAGGGCTCACTGGCCTTGCCGCTACGTGCGGTCATAACACAGGAGGCAGCAGTGGCCCCTTGCCCCACGTGAGACATTGCCTGGTACATGATTAGCAGCAGGGGCCTCATGTAGTAAATGGAGGGAAATTTCAGGTCAGGCGAGGTTTCCTAAAGAAGTCTCAGCAGCAGCCAGGGGCCACGGGCATGGGGAGCAGCTGCAGGCAGGAACCGTGTTTCTGGAGGTGGGGTTTGAGGGGCTGCCTGTGCAGCCCAGGAGGAAGGGGAGGCAGGGGCATAGGGGCAGGCAACATGAGGCCTGGTCCCAGGGCCCGCTCAGACAGAAGGACAAGTACTGGGCTGAGCAGGCACTGAGCAGTGCTCCGCAAAACACTCTGTCTTGAGGGTAGCATGGCCAACTTAGACGGTCTAGAGAAGGAAGGAGCTTTCCGAGCTGAAGCTTCTTAAACACACAGAAGAGGCAGGTGCCAAGATGCTGAGCCGGGCAGATGAAAAGCAGTGTGGTGGGAAGCACTTTGCCCTGTCAGACGCAGCCCGGGGATCAGCTTACAAGTTCGTTTGGGTGGGCCCTGATCCAGCATGTCTGATGACCTTATCAAAGGAGAGATCTGGACACAGACACACGCACATACATACAGGGAAGACGATGTGAAGGGACCCAGGGAGAGGCGGGCGTCTACAAGCCAAGGAGAAAAGTCTGGAACACATCCTTCCTATAGCCTCCCAAGGAGCCAACCCTGTCCACACCTGGATCTCAGACTTTGGGCCCCCAGACTAGGAGAATAGGCATTTCTCTTGTTGAAGCACCCAGCCTGTGGGCTTGGTTCCGGCAGCCCAGCAAAGTA